AGCTATAATGTACCGCATGTGATTATTATTATTATTATTTTGCTCTCATTTTTATAAATTCATTTTGGAGAGAATTATTCTGAATTAAGATTGTTATTGTCTGGTCTCAAGCCCTAGATATGAAAAATAGAGGGATGTGTTAGATAGTTGACAACCGACATAAATTTTCTTAAAAAAATATGACATGACTGTATAAAATCATTGTGTCAATGCTACCAATAAAAAACATGTTGTATGACCTAAATACAGTAAAAATATGAAAGAATCGCTACACTAATTGTTATGAAATATATATCAGAGGAGTTGATGTGATATATATATATAAATCAAACAGAAGAACGATCGACAAAACGAAAAATAGAACGAGAAAAATTACACTAGAAAAGAACACACAGATTTACGTGGTTCGACAAATTGTCTATGTCCACGGAGTTGCAGAGGATTTTACTACTTGAGAAAATTTACACCAGTCGATCACCTCGACTTACAAGAGGAATCACTCACTCTTCATTGCTCTCTCTCTTCTTCTTTCTTTATTCTTCTCTCTCTACATCGAGATACACCGAAGAAAACTTTACATCGAGATACACCGAAGAAGACAAACTTACAAGAGAAATAAACTCAATTTCTCTTTTGCCACAAGCCACCAAGAAGAAGCCTAGGGAGAACAATCTTCTTCTTCTTCTTCCTTCTTCTTCCTCTGCCGCAAGAAACTACTTCTCCTTGCACTTCTTCTCTTCCACTGTCCCGTGGAAACCCGAAGAACTCTTCCTCTATCCCGAGGAAACCTAAAGAAGAAAATCATGACTTCTTGTATCATCCAGATATGAAGGAGAGCCTCTCCTTTTATCACGAAGAGAAGGGAGCGAAGGGATGCTTCTCTTCGCGAAAAAGAGGAGGCGGGAACGGTTTCCTGGCGAAGGGATGCTTCTCTTTACAAAAAAGGAAAGGAGGGAGTGGTTATTTGTGAAGAGGTGTGACCCTTCGTGATCGGAAGCGTCGTTTAGCGAAAACAGAAGGAGAGGCGGGTTTGGGAGTTTGCGGGTTGGGTGGATCGGACTCCACGCCAGCGCTAACATTAATGCCTATGTGCAACATTAAATAAGCAATGATTCTCACATTATAGACGAATGCAAATAAATAAGTTAATATATGAAATTAATATTAGGATAAGAACTTGAAATATATGTGCTCTCACGGGTAAATTAATGAAATTAGTAGATATTATTGTTAAAAAAAGACATATATCTTATGAATTCAGGAAACTAAACGAGTTGGAGAAAGACTAGAGAGCTTGATAGTTTAGGTTTTAAAACTTCAGTATTCAAGGGAGTTGTATTGAAATAGTGTAGGTGCAATTATAAACATGGGTTTGAAAGATAATATTATGAATATTAAAAGATTTGAAGATAAAGTCATTAATTTAAAAATTATTATTGATTATAAGATTCTTAATATTATAAGTGTTTATGCCATCTAAGTTGGGTTGGATATATCTTTAAAAGAAAATTTATGGAATGGTCTAGATAAATTAATAAAAAAGATTGTCTCTTGAAGGAAGAATTTTATTTGAGGAGGTTTAGGGCGCGTTTGGGGCAGCATGTGCTTATCCAAATAAGTAGCTTATCCTGAAATGAGACCCACAAGTGGCCCGCAAGTTCGACCCACGACCTGTGTTTAGTGTAAAAACCCAACTGCGTTTTCGGATAAGCTATCGAAATGGGGTTTCCAAACGGTGAAGCGAAGTTTTGAAAACACCGTCTGCACTTATAAGCTGCCCAAACGGGCCCTTAAATGAACTTGTTGATAGAATGGTAGAACATTTTAAACTTATTGATTACGACGATGATTATGGAGTGACTAATGATGAAGATAAAGCTATATAAGATTTTGTTTTAGCTTGTAATTTTGTTATTTCTAATATTTTATTTAAGAAAATAGATTAACATATTATTACATATAAGCATGGATAAAATAAAACACAAATTGATTATTTTTTTTATAAGAAAATAGATCATCAAGATTGTAAAAAATGTAAGGTTATTCTAAGTAAAAATTTAAGTACCCAACATTGATTATTGGTTTTGAATTTTAAGATCACGGGTTTTAAGATGCATAATACAGTAAAATCTTATCATAAAATCAGATTGGTTCTCTTTATAGACACAAAAAAATTATTTTTATGACAATTTTATGATCTTAAGATTTATGATGTTCATGTTGAAGCTAATAATTTGTGAATTAAATAGCAAGCAATATCAAGCAAATTAGAAAACATATGCTTAGAGGATCAAAAGAAAAGTTCTTATGAATAAACTAATTGGTAGTGGAATAATAATATGTAAGAAAAGATACATAATAAGAAGTTTTGCTATAAAAATTGATTTAGATGTCGAAGCTTAAAGAATTAGGAAAAAAATATATGTTGACCCATAGTAAATCTCAGAGAACAATTTATGATGTTAAGAATTCTACTTTTAACAATTGTTATAATATATTAAAGACTAAAGTGGGTGAAATATATATAGTGTGTGTGTGTGTGTGTGTGTGTGTGTGTATAAAGTAGTCAAATAAAAATATAAGAAATTTAGTTCAAAGAAAGTGTATTAAAGATGAAAATAAAAAAGATATTCAATATAGGTGAGTGATATATTTTCATAAACTAGAGTTGACGTATGATAATAAAGATAGAGTTAGACCTAAAAGAACTTTATTGTTGTATAAAAAATGATCTTAATTTATTAGAATTAAATAAAAACACAACACCCAATAATACGAAAGAATATAAAAAAGGATTCGAATAGCGGACCCCACAACTTCATACAATCATTCTTTCATGTACCTCTATAACTTCTCCTGCAAGAAATCAAAAAAGGATAAAAAGTTGACAATGAAAGGCAACGAAATGCCGATTAGAAAGTCACCAATTATCTGGTCGTTTGCTTGTGCATCAAACTTTAAAGTCTTCCACTTATTTGTTAGTTTAGCGTTATTTAATAAAATCATATATTATATATTAAAAAAAACTACCAGTTTAATAATTTAAAATAAATTATTTATGAGTTAAATAATTTATTAAAGCAATAAATTAATTATATAATATTATTGTATCATAATTTGTATAATAGTTTGAACCCTACATTTTTTATAACAATATTTTAAAATTATTTTATTTTTAATTTAGGAAATAATGAATAATAAAATATTAAATATGTAGCTAAACTTTATTATAAAAAATAATTGCTTTTCTTCGGAATCTCACCGACCATTATCTCTTACTTCTCCAACAAGAAACCTCAAGCCTTGTTCTAATAATATAAGGCCATTTTTCAAAAAAGGAGATTTTCTTAGCACTTTAAATATGCAATTAGTAATGGAAACTAATACTAAAATTGACTCTGTGTTAATTCGGGAAAAAATATTACGTCTGGAGTTCGGATCTAGGCTGAGACGAATAGGGTAGACATATTTAAGTTTAGGGGAGAGGTTTTATTTAAGAGGCTATTTTGATGAGGGCTTGTCTCAAGCAAAGCGACGCATGAACCACTTGTAAATTTCTTCTTTTGGAGTAGTTTTTAATTTTTATTTATATATCTTCAGAACAAAATTTTTATTTTTCTCTCTTGACTTCTGTGTTAATGTGATGAAATTGATGTACAATTCTTTGATTGTTGATCTCACTCTTAGTAAACCCCTATTTCATTGCTTGAAGCCTCGTTGGACTTCATTTGAACTGAATCTTGCTAAACCCTAAAATTATTGATTTCTTTCTAAAGATCATTGCAAGGCCCCAAAAGCTGATTTTAAATGTTGTATGAAACTTATTATAACTAATAAGAACCATGCAAACCAATATGATGGTCAATATGTAAGTGCTGCCTGGTAAACGTTTCATGCGTGAAAATGGTCTTACATAAAATTTTTTCAACGAGTCATTAATTTTTAAAATGGAGTTCACCATTGTGTCTATTTCATCAAAATCTTTCAAAAGAGTCTTTTGGTGCTCAATTTTTACCCAATTTAGACAAATTTTGGGCAAATGATAATCGGGAAAATGAAAATGATAATTCACTATAGAAAAAGTGTTAATTAACGTCTGAATGAGCATCATAAATATTTTCAAAGCAAAATTAGTGACTGATTAACATCTGGTGCCATTGCCCTCGCAGTCCCAAAATTAGAAGAAATAATGCTAGCGAGTTGCTTCAAGTAGAGGTCATAAACGGAAAGAGGTTAAATTACCATAATTCGTTAAGTAGCCAACTCATAAACACAGAGTGCCAGAAGAATGATTTAGTCTTCTTATGACATGATTCTCTCTCGATATCTGAAAGGGAGCCTCCAGAGCGTCCACGAGATGATACATGATACTAAGGAATTGAGTCTTTCCTCAACTCTGGTCTACGAAAAGGTAGATTGTCGGCTTCAGTTGGTTTCTTTATAGTGGGCTTGTATGCTTATGTATAGTTGGCTTGCATGCCCATCTGTCATGTTCTGGTTCGGGCTCGGATGACTATATTTAGTCAGCTTTATCCTCGACTTGATTAGCCTCAGCCTTTTATTCCGATGGTCTACACCTGGTTGGCCTTCTGATTCAGGTAAGTAGATCCTTTGGTCTTCCATCAACGGGCCCTCTGGTGCTGTACTTTCTTACTTTTGGGTCGATGGATATCCGTCAGATTCACGCTAACACATTCCAGATGTCCAATACTAAAGATTTGAATGTATGTGTATAAATATGAAAATTTAAGTGTTAAAAATTTAAATATATAAGATTTGTGTGGCAGATATAATTATTTCTTTTAAAAAAAGGGACATTTAAATATATAGCCTATTTATTTATATATTTAAAACCAAAATTATGCTATTTATACTCTTTTCATTCAAATCTTTTATATAACATAAAAATTATCATCATTTTAACTTTCAAAAATTGAAATCAAATTTTTTTTTATGCCTAACTAAGATAAATTATCAACACATAGAATTGGGTAGCATGTAAATCTTTCTTTAAAAATCTATTTTTTACTTGGTACAATTTGAACTATTTTTACAAATTCCACACGACAACGTTGAGCCCTTAACTTTATAAGGGTGCCACTCCCCACTCCCCACTCCTCACTCCCAGAACGATTCTCTCTTCAAAAACCAGAGAAACATTCAAGATCACAACTTTCGCGTCGATCTCAATTTCTCCTCCATTCCGCTTCGCCTCCCACCTGACAAATTCCATTTTCCCCTCGCTTTCCATCCCCATCTCCTTCCCATCGCCATGGGCTCCCTGCGCCCTGCTGTAAGAGACCCTAGAGACGACCTCGTCGTCACCCAAGTAAGCTTCGGTGGCTTTGAAGAATCCGTCGACGCCAAGAAGCTTTTCGACTTCCTCGAACTCAACGCCGGCGCCATCTGGCGTTGCCGCGTCAAGAAGACATGGTCCCCTCCTGATTTTTTCCCCAACTTCGCTGCCATCTCCTCCCCTAACCGGGGACCCTCCGCCGATGAATCCGTTGCCAAGGTGGTCACCCCTCATGCATTTGTTCACTTCGCCCACCCCGGCGCTGCGAAGCGAGCCATCGCCGCCGCCGGCCGATCGGAACTTATTCTCGACGGTCGCGTGCTCCGCGTCAACTCCGGCACTGATAGTGCTTACCGCGCTCAGCGCCGGCGGAGCATCGATCCCTTCAAGTTCTCCTCCGTCGGCGTCGAGCTCGGCACGCTTTTTGCCCGCGATGAGTTTTGGCTCGCGTGGAAATGCTCTTCCGGCGAGTTTGTCGTGGATCCGTTCGATGGTTGTTGCCGGATTCTATTCTCTCAAGAAATCCCGTTCACGAAGAAGGACGCGAAGGAGACGGTGATTCTCAAATGCGATTTGAAGGTACAGTTTCTTGTTAGGGATTTGGATGATGTTAAGGTTTGGATGGACGAAGCACCATTTTCTCTTTTACTGCATTTCTCCTCCGCTCCGCTGGTGTATTACCGAACTGCCGACGATGATATCTATGAATCAGTACCGTTCAGCCTCTTAGACGACGAAGATCCGTGGATTCGGACCACGGATTTCACTCCCAGCGGAGCTATCGGCCGATGTAGCGTCTTTCGGATTCTGCTTTCTCCTCGATTCGGGCCAAAGCTCCTGCGGGCGCTGAATTATTTGAGGGATCACAGAATCCCGGAGTCTCGGCCGTCCAGACCTCTTCGTATTCGCGAGGAGCCGGAGTTTGGAGTTTCTATGGTTGATCACTTCTTCTGCAATCATTCAGTAAAAAGTATCAGCTTTCCCACACTGTTCATGGTTAATGCGGTTTTGCATAAGGGGATCTTTAACCAGCACCAACTAACTGACAAAATGTTCAGTTTGCTGAGGAGCCAAAGTGATTCATTAAACGACGCAGCTTTGCGACATATTTGCGCTTACAAGCGCCCCATCTTCGATGCATACCAAAGGCTGAAACTTGTGCAGGATTGGTTGTTGAGAAATCCAAAGCTTGTTAAGGGACAAAGGATTGCCGATGGGACCATGGAGGTGAGGAGGCTGATTATCACTCCAACGAAAGCATATTGTCTGCCGCCGGAGGTGGAGGTGTCTAATCGTGTTCTCAGGCATTACAGGAATGTAGAAGATAGATTTTTGAGGGTTAGTTTTACCGATGAAGCAATGCAGCAACTGAATTCCAGTGTCCTGAACTATTATGTAGCTCCAATAGTGCGGGACATCACCTCAAATGGATTTCCACAGAAAACTACGATCTTTAGAAGGATCAAATCTATATCAAGTAATGGTTTTGACTTATGTGGTAGGCGATACCGCTTTCTGGCCTTCTCATCAAATCAACTGAGGGATCAGTCAGCTTGGTTCTTTGCTGATTATGAGAATATAACTTCTGATTCCATCCGGAAATGGATGGGTAGGTTCTCCAACTATAATGTCGCAACGTTTGCTGCTCGAATGGGGCAGTGCTTCTCCTCAACATATGCTACCTTGAAGATGCTGCCTGCTGAAGTTGATTTTGAGCTTGAGGATATTGAGAGGAATGGCTTCGTCTTCTCCGACGGGATTGGGAAGATCACTCCAGAGCTGGGAATGGAAGTTGCTGAAGCGCTGCAGCTGACCGACAACCCTCCTTCTGCCTATCAAATACGCTATGCCGGCTGTAAGGGTGTGGTAGCCGTTTGGCCCGGGAAGGATGATGGAATTCGTCTCTCAGTCAGACCAACCATGCAGAAATTCGACTCCACTCACAATGTTCTTGAGATTGTATCATGGACACGCTTCCAGCCCGGCTTCCTAAACCGTCAAATTGTCACTCTTCTTTCATCCTTGGATGTGCCTGATATCGTCTTCTCGAGAATGCAGGAGGAAATGATTTCTAAGCTGGAACATATACTTGAAGATGCCAATATCGCTCTTGAAGTTCTCATCACCTCCTGCCTTGAGCAAGGGAACACTGCCGCAATGATGCTGGCCGCCGGCTTTAAACCTCACACAGAGCCCCATCTCAAAGGCATGCTTCTGTGTGTCAGAGCTGCACAGCTTAAGGATCTCCTATTGAAGGCTAGAATATTTATTCCAAATGGAAGGTGGTTGATGGGCTGCTTGGATGAACTAGGGGTACTGGAACAAGGCCAGTGCTTTATTCAGGCATCCACTCCCTCATTGGAGAACTGTTTCTCAAGGCATGGATCCAGATTCTTGACAACGAAGAAGGAGAAGAAAATTGTTGTGGGTACTGTCGCTGTTGCTAAGAACCCGTGTCTTCACCCTGGGGATGTTCGGATTCTCGAAGCGGTCGACGTACCTGAGCTGCATCACCTCGTCGATTGCTTGGTGTTCCCTCAAAAGGGAGAGAGGCCTCACTCAAATGAGGCGTCTGGTAGCGACCTTGATGGTGATCTTTATTTTGTCACTTGGGAACCTAATTTGATACCTCCAAGCAAAAAGAGTTGGGCTCCGATGAGTTACGCTCCGGCACAAAAGAAGTTGCACCCACGCAGTGTCATCCATAAGGTTTGCTCTCTATATTTTCACTAGAGAAATTCATTTATTTAATTTGTTATTGTCATAATTTATTTTGTAGATGTGCTGTTATTTCGTTTAAAGTGTTATATGGGCTTATTTAAGGTTCCACTTAGTATAGACATCATTTGATTCAATGGTTCTCTAAAATTTTGTTAGAATGTAGTCCTTAGCTTACTATTATGTCTATGTGACATTTGTGTTCAGAAGGCTTCACTTTGGTGGTTGCTTATGGCGAGATGGTTGGTTGAGTTTATAACATACTGCTCAATTTAAAATAATTTGGCTCATAAATTTGTACCTTAATTTTGGAATAGTTGTGGGTATTTTGCGCTCATCTCTTTAATCTTTTGAATTATTTCACTCTCTGACTGGTACTTTCAAAATACTCTAATAAAATGAATGGATTGATGACAAGGCGGCGTAACTTCACGCTCCAAAATGTGCTCGAGTATGTCTTTGTATTTTAGATTTTCTCAAATCATCATTGGTTCAAATTGAGTGATGTGAGAGTGGCTCACATGAGGGAGGAAGCAACGGGATTCGCTTCGGCAGTTTGGTTCGAGGAAATAGCTTATTCAGTTTATACACTATGAAATACAAACACTATTATATATTAATCTGCTCATATTTGACACTGGAATGCTCTGATAAAATTTTCTTTTTAATTTCAGAAACAAATTTCAATATTTCTTGTATACCTTAAACTTCTTCAGCATGTCTTAGCACATCATTTGTACGTGTTTGACATCTGTTGCGCATGAACCATGCTTCTCTAATTACAACAGTATTTATTCTTTTCATGTTTGATTTAATACTCTTATGGCTTGATGAGAATTTTATTTTATTATTTCTTCATATTTGATTTTGAAATCTAATTTGCTTGTCAAATTAGTTTCTATTACAATATAAAAGTAATCAAATTTACTGTTATGTGCTTGGGATCAGTTTATTTTCATTCTCCCACTTTGTTGCTTTCCTTCTTTCTTTTCCTCTTTTCTTTAAATTTGCTATTTCAACGAATGTGTCTGAGTTACAAAACTCAGTACCCAATATGCTTACTATGTTCAAGATGTCTAACATCAAGCTCCCCCATCCAGCTCTTTAATCTGTAAATTTTATTTCTAACTTGTGCCTGTAACTTCTGTCATGCAGGACGTCATTGAATTCTTTGTGAAGAACATAGTGAGTGAGAACCTAGGAGTCATATGCAACGCGCATGTGGTCCACGCCGACCTTAGTGAGCATGGAGCCAAGGACGAGAAATGCATCCAGTTAGCTGAGTTGGCGTCCACGGCTGTTGACTTCCCTAAAACCGGCCAACTCGTGACCATGCCCACTTCCCTCAAGCCCAAACTGTACCCTGATTTCATGGAGAAGCCCGAACACCAATCCTACAAGTCTGAAAAGATCCTCGGGCGGCTTTATCGCGCCATACGAAATGCTTCGAATGAGACCTCCATGCCCGAGTTCTCACTCAGTTACGAAAACATTTGCTACGACAAAGATCTCGAGGTGCCGGGCGCTTCGGATTTTCTCGCCGCCGCCTGGGACAACAAATGCGTATACGATTCATATGTTGATGCTTTGCTTGGGCAATACGGAATAAGGGCGGAGGCGGAGATTGTCGTCGGGCAAATATCATCGTTGCCTAAACACAACAGCCGGAAGCAAGGGGATCTAAAAGAACGGATCAAGAGCACGTACACCGCTCTTTGCAAAGAATTCCGCCAGGTGTTTGAGTCGTTGGAAACAGGCAATTTGAAGCTTTCTGGAGAGGAGAAGGAGTTGTTGTTCGAGCGAAAAGCTTCGGCGTGGTATCAGGTCACTTATCACCCAGATTGGGTTCGGAGATCAGCGGAGAGGAGGGGACCTGATGGCAGCGAAGTGCTGCCTCGCCTGAGCTTTGCATGGATTGCTGTGGATTACCTTTCAGGAGTAAAGGCTAAGCGTCGAGAATGAGAAGAAGATAACGATGTCTCTTCGGAAGAGGAGATGTGATGATGCGAGTTGGTTGCATTAATTAGGTTACTGTCTGGTTTGTTGTAGCAAGGCCACTCTGCCATTTTCCATATCTGCCATGGTAGATATGAATATGTTGTCCTAAAGGAAATCGTCTTTTGTTTATGTTTTTTGTTGTTTTTATTTTCAGTTTTTTCTCTGTTTCAGAAGCTGTTTTGGATTGTGCAGAAAGGAAAGTTTGGTTATCGTCTTGGATTTTACAGTTTGTGTATGAGATAATATTTCTGGCTACAATTGTTTTGCAATTGTGTGTTTCATTATCATACATTATAGTGGTCATTATATTAATTAGTTGGGATTTGTCTTTTACAAAATGCTCTTTGTCATTTGTTTTTGTTAAGTTATTTTTGTCTACTTTATTAGTCTGTAGGGGTAAGAATGCATGCCTGATTCTGATTCTGTGTTTCTCCCTCAGAGCTCATAAAATTGTGTAATGATATGGGATTTAATTTGAAAATTGGGTTAAATGATGTTTTTCTTTCTGTCATAGAGATGGGCTATTTTATGATTTTCCTTTTTTATAATAATGAAGAGGATAAGTCTGGAAGGTACAACTGCACAGAAGAAGGTTCACAGAATATGTAATTCTCGTATTTTTAGACAAATTAAAATTGATATCAAAATATGAAAAAAACAAAGGCAGCTGAACAGGGCTCACTTTTTTCAAAGCCTGAGCAGATCTCCAAGCTCTTAATCTGATGTGATTGTGATTAAAATATTTTCATTACCCAGAAATATTCTTAAGTCTTTTAATTATCATTCAAACACTCCAAAATTACTTAATTTTTTTTCTTAAATATAATATTTAAGAATTTCTTTAAGAAAATTTTTAAATTTTATTAATTAGGAATGAACTAGGACACTAATTTTTTTATTTGCATGCTTAACCTCAAGCTTCTTCTCAAAAAAGACTGACCGTTTATTTTTCTTTCTTTTCTTTTCTTTTAGATTAGGGTCTTGCATAATTTTATTTTATTTTTTTTAACCCAAAAATAGTTTTAATTCTTGAGAATTCTTATATCTGGTTAAGCCTGTATCTTAATGATCTTGAACGACCAATCTCCCCTAATTGATAATTCCTAATTACTTCTTGAAATGAATCCTTGAATATTATTATTCATTGAAAAAATAAGGTTAGATTAAGATTTAACGGTTTAATTATCTTTGATTAAAAACTTATATTTTTAATTAAACATTTTTTAATTATTCTTGGACCTTTTAGGCTTCAGGTAAAAGTAACTAAAGTGAAGGGGACAATTATTAGGAAGTTAATTCCAACCCTCTTTTAATGATCCTTCATGAGTAAAAATCAGTAGAAATCCTATCATGAGTCACTTCTCCACATAAATGTCTAAAGCTTAGGTATATAAATTACTTCAAACGTAAGCATACGTGTGATGTGTAGAAAAAATCACTTAAATTTCTTTATGTTTTACACATTTTTATGGATAAAATTGTACTTTTAAAAAGATATTTTCATGTTTTTATTGTTGATACAACGAGTGTTAAATGTGAAGCAATGTGGAGGAGACTTGGAGTAAGGTGGAGGAGACTTGGAACAAGGAACAGGTAATTGGCGCTTAGGAGCCAGACCTCTGGATGCTTAGGCATCAGTCTCAGCCTGATAACCAAAGAGGTTGGTACCTAAGCGTCATGATATTGCTGCCTAGGCTCCAACAATTGCCTGAGCAGTTTTGGATAGTTCGAGCACATGACATGGGGAGTTATTCAGACGGCCAAGGGAGGTTTTTATGCTTTGCTTGACAGTCTATTTAGAGATATAGGTGATAGGATGATAAGCTTGCTGAAGGATTGAAGGAGATAGGCTTATGTGAGGGATTCTGAGAGGATTTGAGTTGTAAAGTAAAGGGAGTGTTCAAGACAACAAGAAGGAGTCAAGAGATCCTTGGTGAAGCATTTCTCAGAGTTTTGTAAAGGAGGGAAAGATAAGTGTTGTGCATTCAATTTACTGTATTTCTTTGTACACAATTATTTAGTGGATTTCTCTTATTCTCAATGAAGCTTTGTGGTATGTTCTTCACGCATTCTGAGTAGAACTCGTTACCTTACCTTTTGATGTTTGAGAAGGATCTATAGGATTGTAAAGTGTTTTCAAAATTTTTTCTAATTATTTAATGTAAGATTAACCTTTAGAACTTTATTTACTTTTTTATTCTTGCCAAGTGAACCGTTAAAATGTGTTGTGATCCATAATGACTTGGGAGAGTTATGATAAAATCAACTAGTTTAATCACATTGAATACTTTGTAGAGAGATGGGTTCATTTAAAGAATTAAGGTCATTTAAACCAATTTTCTTTATGCACTCGGGAGAGGGTAAAGAAGAGAGTTGTTCCGATTTATCATTAACCACATTTATAATTAACACTTTACATTTCCCATGCTTGACTCAAATCATTACTTGGGTGGGTAACTTTATAACTTGATATTTACCAATCCAAATAAGTTATGTAGGATTTTTATAGAGCTTAAAATTTAAAATAGTTTGCAATTCAATAGGAGTAGTTTGCAGAACTTTAACCTATTCTCAATTCTAGGCAAAGAACAAAAGCTAGTAGGCTAGAACTTTTTTGTAAGTCTAATTCTCTCTTTCCCTGTGTGATCAACATTTCGGACTCAAAAATCCGATATTACTGATATGAAACATGCACTTGTGTGAGCCCCCATAGTATGAGTCCACCTGGAAGCGGTATCAACATGCATACCACCCACCTCCTCCAAACTTATTTTCCATCTTATGCATGCCACATGGATGATTGCAAGAATGAAAAGTCGCTAGCATGAAATAAGTATCATGTCACATCAACAAAAATGTAAACATCCACATCTACACTGCTGGTAAAACATCACACGTGGAACTTTTCACCACAAAAATATAGAACATCTCATAAATGGGCAAATCACAGGGAGATTAAAATAGTGCATAACATAGTCTCAAAATACATGAACTTAAATTCAATTATGGCAAGTCTTTTTGACAATAGCACAACAAATTTCAAATCAAAAGTATGTACAAAGTAAATTCAAAGTAAATTCAAATAAAAAACAAAAACAAATCACAATCAAACATAAATCAAAGCATAATATTACATTTGGGTTGCCTCTCAAGTAATGTTTAGTTTAATGTCCCCCAACACAACCTAATTAAATCAATCCTAGGGTATTTCACCAAGATCAAATTTCCTTTCCTATACTCCCTAATCATTCTTTCTAAATTTTGACTATCATAGAGGACTGCCTAAGTCATCAAATCTCGGTCCTAGTCTCGGATCATCATGAATACATATGTTCCTCCCTTCACCCTTAATCAAAATTTTCTATAATTATTCATCTCATGATGTAGTAATCTTCTGAAAGATGTGTGGGGGTTGACTCATATGATAGATCTTGAAAAAATACTTCATGATTCAAGGCTCTCAACAACTTCCCATTTTTTAATTCACTTGTCTCAGAAAAAGTAATGAAGGACCAATCATAACATTCTCATAAAAATGCATGCTTGTGGTGTTTAGAGAGAATTTGCACTTCTAACTCTGGAGCTTCTTCAATGTAAAACACTAAAATCTTAGCTTTGGTAGTCATGTCCACACGCTCAAATTTATCCTTAAAAAATATAGGGTTGTCTCTAAAAGTAGAGCACATACTTACTTAGCTTTCTTATTATAATCCTCAATCATGGCTTGCTCCTTTGGGTTCACTTCCATATATTTAAAAAAATTAGCCAACAATTACCCTTGCATCAAATTTATCTTATGTCATTGGTTAAAGTTAAAGCCTTGAAGAAATTTAATTTTATAATATTAAAAGTCACCCTATGATCACTAACTCTCATGGTTAGCTCCCTCTTTTGCAAATCAATCATTGATCTTTTGGTGCCTAAAAAGGGTCTGTCAAGTGTGATGGAGATTACATATCTTCCTCTTTGTCAATGACAATGAAATTAGCAAGGCCATCTTTTATGTATGTCCTTACCCTTCTGAGAATTAGTGTAAGACCTCCTTTAAAGGAATACGACATCTATTCTCTCACGCTAGGTGCATGTAAGGCCCTCCTAAAATCGTCTTCAAACAACTCTTGTCTAAGGAACCCCTAACAAGAGCTCTGGGAAGCTTTGGTCTACTCAATCAAATAACAAGAAACAAATGAAACAACAAAATTCAACTCCGATCTTTCTTAGAAAACTTTTTTCTAAAAATCACCAACGACAAATTCAACACAAACCTAATCTTTTCTGGACACCTCTGTCTTGGGATTCCCTAATGGGAAACTCAACCCAAAACTTGACCTCCATGCTGTTGGAATGCTCTGAGACCTAATTGGCTAGTTCGGTCAACGTCAATATGTGCAAAGTACCTGTTGGGCACACCGCACAAATTGAGGGTCCATTTGTTGACTTCACTTTTGTGAGGACCTCTTCTCTATCTATAGAAACCTAGGATTTTTTCTTAGAGTTTCCTAGTGACATTCTTAGATGACTAGAGATGAAGCTCATCCATATAGAAATTTTAAACCAATTTTGCATTCACTTAGGGTTTCCTGAGGTTAAGTCAAAATCCTCAACCCTTGGTTGAGGTGGTTGAGGATCTAGCTAAGTAGAAGCTCAAGTTGGATTCTTATCGGTGGAGGATGCCCTAGGTTAACCATGGAGCATAGAGCCCTAGGAAATTCCTCTAATCACCCTTTGACTACTCATAGAAATCTCATTGACCTAAGAAAAACCCATCAGACAGGATGCTAGGCCTAGGCCAATTAAGGGTTTTGTCTCTGACTAGATTACCCTACAAAACTTTGAAAATCTCATGACACCAAATATAACACTAGAAGAGGAGGGGTGATTCACCAAAGTCAAACTTTGGTACCACCTAAAGTTTTCTCAACACCAATCTACCCTAACACTGGCATAAACCCTAAACACATAAACCTAACCTTAAAAATTAGAATCACCAAAATTAACTAAGTCAATTAATGAACAACTAAACTCTTGAAAATAAAATCAAAATCAACTCAAAATATTAAGTCGGAAAACACTTAAATATCAAAATTAAATTATAAAGCCTCACTAAGCTTAATCCTTTTGGGCCAACCTAATCACCTAAGGCTAAGCTTAAACACAAAAGCTCAATCATAAACATAAGCCCAAGCCATCATGGAGGAGCTTTTGGGATAAGGTAATCGTTTGA